CGATATACACATAGAATGTTGCTACAACAGTTTTTCTCAACCTTGCTGAATTTGCCATTTGTCCGGCATTCTGTGCTGCTTGCTGTACTTGCAAAGCGTGAATCCGATTTTTATGATGTTTTACGGTTCTGTATATCTTGCAGCAAAGCGATCCTGTAATTATGAGACAAACAGCTCCAACGATTGCACTTGTAGTTTCATTGACTTTTTCTAAAATTCTGTCCAAGTTAAATAGTGAAGAAACTGAACTTAACAGCCATTTTAAGATGACAGCAACAATAACCCGCTTGTGTGTCACAAGTTGCCTGTATCTGAGATGAAGATGAATAGCCAAGAATCTGTCAACAGTTAAAAGGACAACGCGCACAAATGAAGCGTTAGAAAATACGTACCCAATGATAAGGTGTACAGTGTATACCCCATGATAAGCACTGATGTTAGAGCTCTGTTCTGTGCTCATTACAAGACGAGCAATATAAAGGGGATGGACAAGCAAACCCACCCCAAGATCAGAAACAGCCAGACTCAGGAGTAATGTTTTCAAAGTGCATGGTAATGACGACGTATTTCTAAGTGCTTGTATAGTTATGATGTTCAACGCGATGGCGGTGTAACACAAAAAAGCGTTGAAGACGCAGTTTGCGACCAGCGTCGAATACAAACGTTCAGCTCCTGTCATTTTATAGATCAACAAGTAAATCCTTACTGTGTATATACTGTGGCACCCTATAATCCTTACAAGTGTTCGATAAAAATCTTCCAATAAGAGAAGGAACAAAAAAAAAAAACCCGGCGATAAAGAAAATTTCTGTGCTAACAATATTTAACTTATTGACAAAATGATTAACAAAGAGGAGAGGCAGCTCGTTCATGACGGTGCATCGAAAATGCAAAACAAATAAAACACAATTTAGGTTATTAGTACTTAGATTAAAAATGTCGATTAAAAACTATGGCAGAACGATTCGCTGTTTGTACTATCTGCTGGACCCAACAAAGTCAATACGGCAATTTATACAAGTTACATATGAAGAAAAAAAAGCAATGCATAGAAGAGAAAGAATCAGTAAAGCAAAAAAGAAAATAACGATGATTTTACCAAATATTTTTAATCTCCGTTGGTATTTGTGCTCAAAGCTAGAGAATATGAAAAAGAACACCGAAAAAACTTATCGGACTGATAAATAAACACATCTTAAATATTAAGGCCTGTCCCTGACACCACAGGGATAGGAAATGTAACAAATACATCAGCTTTAGAACAAGCATGGTTCAATTGTTTTTAAGACAACGCAATAAGCCTATTTGTAAAATCATCACCCAAATTAAAATCAAACACACCCTCAAATTTCCCTGTAAAAATCGAATATAAATAGGCGCGGCGTGCCCGGTGATCATAAAAGATCTTCGTAATTGAAAGCGATAGCCAGCCATCCTTTCTAGCTCTTTCTCTTGTTAAAAGCTGGCTTACATGAATTGTTTGGCAATGATTATAGGTTACTCAAAAGAAGAACACCTAAAAATAATGAAAAAAATTAATGCTCACACAGTCGCACTGATCCAACGATTACAACAATCAATCAAGAAAAACGATGTGTTTTTGATATCTCAGCGGGTATGGCAGAAGTGTTTTGAATAGTAAGGAGCGCCATTAAAATCCAACTAGTGGTCTATTATCAATGTTGCGTTCTGATTGGTTGAGCTACTAGTAGCGAAAAGCACGGGCTTTTTGGCGGCAAAAAAGGATTAAAGTCTAGCTTTAACTAGCTAAAAGTTTTTTATTCTCGATATTTTTTACCATCTAGCTGGATTTTACTAAAACAATTATTCCTTCGCCCTCATGGTTTCTGAGTCAATAGCCCATTCGGCCTTCGACCTCATGGGCTATTGACTCAGAGCCCATTCGGGCTCAAGGAATAATTGTTAATTAGCCAGTCACGAACAGTTGCAACTAGATTAAAAATGGTATTATCGATGGTTTTAAGGCTCCGCAAGCTATTGCAGTTGATGAATACCTTTTAGCATTTTGTTGCAATTAGAGTAATAATGGTATTATCGATAGGCTCCGCAAGCTATTGCAGTTAATATATATGTTTTAGGATTTTAATCACAGACGGACTAAAAAGTTAGAACTGCGTACAGAACAGCTGTACAGTGTAAAAAGGGGTTTTCATTTAGTTAAATGGTCACGTCCATTACTTAAACTCGAGGCTATTTGAGAAGTGGTTGAGTAAAACGTAATATCTGAGACTAAACTAGAGCCTTATGGCCATATTATTGTATGTTCTTTTGTGTCCTACCACCTTGTAACAAAGTGATTCTGCTTAACAGGCTGCACCAACTGGGAAAGTTGTTTTTTTTGTGTGTCCAGTAGTGCTTTCCCAAAGGGCCCTATTTTTTTACTGTAGTTCAGAGGATAAATAAGCTGTGAAATGAATAGACTGCAAAAAAGTCGGTTTTTTTTTCTCAAAATCAGTAAAGAAATCGGTAAAGCGTGGCGTAAGAGTCTTGCGTCTCTCCCCAGTCTCGCCCTCTGTTTTCAGCCTCGTTCCAGACCTTTTGTTTGACTGCTAGCGCGTAGTTGAATAAGCAAAAATATGGACTGTTTTGCAGTCTATGAATTGAAAACCACAAGTGTCTCAAGTAAATATAAAACAGATGGTAATGCAGGGCCGTTTTTCACATCGATGCTAAAAAAGGAAACTTTACTGTTCATAGCCGCTGGGAGATGCGAAATATCTCCTCGGGTGTTGAAATAGTTTTCAACACGAACAATGACCTATCGTGTCTCCAAGTGGCCATATAGTGTTCTTTTTCATGTATAAGCACCGATGAAATACCAGACCATTTCAATGTAGCTTTTTTTCTTTTGGCAGCGAAAGGCGCAATTTATTATTTATAATTTTCACGTGTGAAGATATCATGTTTTCGCGCGAAAGCTCACCTGGTATTTCATTGGTTCTTATAAATATTTTATATCATAATTAAAATCGATATTAAACGTACAGCAATTTCAAGAAAATATTTTCTCAGCCTTGCCGCATTGCTTTCTGTGCTCCTTGCAATGCGTGGATTTCACTTTGCATGTTGTTGTGTGGTTGTTTGAGATCAGAGAAGCAATCCCATATTTAAGAGAATAACTGTCTTACTGAATGCATGGTTACGTATGTGATGTCAAGAAAATAAATTAGACTGAAAACTGTTTCAAGCGGACCCATACACATTCAGCTGCACATTAAGCGGACGAATAGCTCAGTTTGTTAAAATGTTTACCCATATATTCTGCAAAATAAACCTTTATTCAGGTGTCCGCTGATATTCAAGTTTCACTGTGAAAACGGAAACAAATGCACGTTACTCCTAAACTGAGGTCACTACAAAAACAAAACGCTTGTGAGTCAAGCTCCTGGTATCTGAGATTAAAACGAGTAGCCAAGAAACCGTCAGCGCTGAGTTAAGCGATGTCTTCCTGAGTGTATGTCTGTTATTATCTTCAGCCGTGATGGCGGAGAAAGTCAAGAATGCTTTGAAGACGCAGTTAGCGACCAAGGTTGAATATTAATCTTCAACTTCCAACATTTTATGGATCTGAGTACCCAAAAGTCTTATGTTCTAAACACTGTTTCAAGTTTTAACATTTTTGAGATCCGCCATATTTACTAGAAGGTGTCGCACTATTTGGAGAGACCACCACTGAAACTTGATGTAATTGGGCAACTCGCTCAGTAAGATTCGAAAAGGTGCCAGGACTCTCCTTCGTTTCAACAGGGCTTTATTCGACCCCCCTGTGATCAACGTTTCTTTTCCAGAACACTTCTTTTTAATACTTCAATTTTCTAATTTCAAGCAAGAGTTCACTTGGTTTATGTAAAAATTTGCATGAAATCTTTGCGAACGTTTTAAAGGTGAGCGCAGTATTCGGTAGAGCAACACAAGCTACAATCTTCAGCTCGAAGATCTTTCTAGAGTCAAAGTACACCAAAGGAGATGCTCTCAGAAAAGCACCGACCAACCAATGAAAACCTGAGAGTCTGTAAAACCGGAACAGGTGCAAATATCTCCTGGTTCCAAAATTGGCTCAGGCACAGTTTGACAGAAAGTTACGCAAATATGGTCACAGCTTAGAAAATCGGGGTACCTTTATCAATTGAAATCCTAATTTTCGACAGGAAAAGCAACTTTAACTTGATTGAAACTGAGCAAGCTAAAGAGCAGTAGTTGACAAGTTTGATTTTATAAAATCAATTTCCTTGCAATGATCAACGTAAATAACAATCAGTCCGATTAATAATAAACTTCCCACCGTCTCTATGATGCTGTCGAATGCCAAGAAGAAAAAAGAAAACATAACTCCAAACGTTGGTAATGAAACAGTAAGTCATATGGTTATCAAAATTGGAGAATAAACAATCACTGTTGAAAGCTACAAAAGTTAGAAAGTCTTCAAAAC